GGTGTCCCAGGCACATCGGTGTCTGTGTGTATGGTCTGATAAACCCAGGGGAAAACATCTGAAACACCCCAAAAGTGTAGCATGAAGCACTCCTCTTATTTGCAAATACACCCCAAAATATCGCAGTCATGCACACTGCATGGCTCTTGCGACAGAAACGGCTCTGACCTGCGGTTGCCCCAGAGTTTCGCGGGCAGTTGAGGACAACTGGTGTCACTGTCCTGGTGTCGGTCGTCCAGGGGGCACAGGACCGTGACAGGCATCCCCTTCCCACTGTGTCAGAGAACGTGGTTTCTGTGGTGGAGTCCTGGAGTTTGTTTTGTGGTCAGGTTCTGAGGACTGGCATCAGCCGGGGCATTGGCTGAGCGTTGTTTTAACATGTCTGAGTTGGCATAGTGTGGTTTGGGGTCATTCTCTGGGATGAGAGCTGGCTTTTAGGGTGCCATAATGTGTTTTTGAGGCTGTGGGTAAGGAAATCAGACCTTTGGCATTATCCTTATCTTCCTGTGCTCAGCGAAGGATCCTGTCTGCTGTTAGTCTCCCAGTTAGCCCAGGTTTTGCTGCTCTTTATCATCTTTTTACTGGTACTCTGGAGTTGCAGTAATTGTTCCCATCTTCAACTTTCTTCATCACGATGATGCTGAAGACAGGACCTGGTTTGGATTCTGACACCTGGACAGAGGTGGGCTCTCCATACGCTGCGTTTGTGCTCCTTCGGATGTGTGGAGGTTCGGATGCAGAGGTGGGAGCTGACACAGCAGTCAGGACTGACCCACATGCTGCTCTTGCCTTTCAGCACATCCCATAAGCTTCCTGGCCCTTGCCACAGGGCTTGAGATTGAAGGCTTTTGGTGCTCTAGTGGCTAGGAAGGGTCTGTAGATCCAGATTTGGGCCATCTGCGGCGGCTGCTGACTGGAGAGGAGAGCCTTGGGAACCTCCAGGCTGCTGGTGTAGTGTTGCCTGGGCTTGTGGGCACCAGAAGCTTTTCTTCAGCCAACTCAAATAATCTGGGATGGGGGTTTCAAGTGTTCCAGGAGTGATCACAGCAGCAGGACCATATCTTTTGTGAACGTTGAGGTAATGTGAAATATTGAAATGAATCGGAGAAAAACTGTGGTTGAAAGGGACTCCTGAAAAGTCTTTGGCCCAAAGCAGAGAGAACTTCAAAGGTAGTTTGTGTTGTTTGTGGCTGTGTCTGGTTGAGTATGAATATGCCTAGGAAGGAGATTTCTGTGCCCTGGTCCCAGGGCTGACCATGCTGGTAACCAAGACTTGGTTTTTTTCTGGGTGCGTAGTCAGAATTTCTCTTGCTGCAGCTTGTTCCCATCCCTTCTTGTCCTTTCATGGTGTGCTCGGAGGATTTTGGCTTTGTCCTCTCTCTGACTCCCTGACATGTTGGTCAGATGGGAGAAAAACGCACGACAGCCGACTTGTCTTGTCCTTCGGTGCAGCCTTGCTGGTCTGACTCACGGTCCTGGGAAGCTGCTGCAGAGATGTGGGAGCGCTCCGGGCTGAGCCACAGCAAGCTCAGGAGTCCTGCTTGGTCTTCTCCTGGTGGTACCTGAGGCAGTGGTGCTGCTTTCAGTGTTGTTTGTGCAAGGCCTTGCCCTGATGTAAATCTTCACTGGTGCTGAGGCAGAGCTTGTGACACGATCTGCATCGCACGCCGTGTGCATTTTGCTGTGATCGGTAGACGGTAACTGTTAAAATTGGAGAGTGAGTGAAGCTTTTGACTTCTGTGGGAGATTTTACAGTTGAGAGACTCTACCTGCAAACAGCTGTGACTCGCGCTTCTGTAAAGGGCACAACAACCGTGGTGGTAGGGAGCGTCTGAAGACCCTCATGCTCTGCAAGGACCGCTTGCCCTGAGGGTATTCCTGCAAAGAAGGCAGTGAGGCCACGGCGCTGCCTGAAGTCTCTGTGGATGTCACCTGTGTGACACAGCCCCCCATGGTGTCAAGTGTTCTGAGCAGAAACATCTCTCTCAGAAAGCTGTAACGGTGTTACGTGGTAAGGAAGATGTCACTGGTTCTAAGCGTGTTATTTCCATGATGTGTTTCTTCCTGCTTGACAACTTTGTAAGAAATACGACATTTTCTGCTAAGTTAATGAAGGCTGTTTGCTCCCAGAAGTTTCTGCCCCATTTTAGTAATTTTAATTTTGGTGTGGAAGCCCCTTGGGCTCTTCCCTTCTTGACTGAGCCACTTACATCAGGTTCCTTAAATCCCTTCTTACAGGGATGTTTCTCAGGATTGAATCTGTCTTATTGATATTCCCTGGGCTTCCTCCCAGGCTTTCAGCAGCCTTTATGTGGGAGCAAAAGAAGCAGATTTATTATTCCAGTCTCGAGCTCACTAAATCTGCGTGCAGGAGGACTGCCTGAAAATTAGGCCGACTGCTTTTGCAAAGTAGTGGAAGCTGCTGCTCGGTTGCTGATGTCTAATAATCCTTCGGTCTCCTCGCTGTTGTCTGTCCCTGGTTATGTCCTTCTGTGGTGGGAATTTTGTCACTGGAGACAGCAGGCTCTTGGAATTCGTTCCCAGGAGAGAGAGAGATGAAGATGAGCCTTTTGGCCTCGGACTTGCCTGCAGTCCCGTTGCCATGAGCTGGGTTTCCTGTCACTGGCTATCTTTTAGTAACAAGAATATAAATTATCTTCTTTAAAAATATCGTTTGACCTATTCAGCTGTGTTTTCCTCTGGTTAGGGGCACATGTGTTGTTTGGGTGCTCCCTGCTCCTGTGTGTGGTGGAGATTTACTTCTTGGCAGGTCACCTGCAGCGGGGCAGGATGCTGAAGGTGGGTCTGGCTTCATTGGGCTCTTGCAGGAGAGGGTTGGTTCAGGTCTTCTTGAGGAAGAGGGTGATAAAGGGAGATGGAGGGGTGAAGGGAGCCAGAGCATCTCTGTAGCAAGCCAGGGCTCAGTAGGTCTGTTGCTGGGGAGTCAGTGTGATCCTGGTGCTGCTCTGCTGCAGTTTTTCTGGCTATGCCTTGTCCTGGGACCATGTGGAAACCTTCAAGCAGGTTTCCTTTGCTCTCTTCAGCCAGAAGTAACCTCTTGGTTTTGTTCCTCTCCAGGTCTCTTCACACTCCTGGTCGAAGATTTTGGTGAGTGCAAGAAACCTTCCTGGGAAGTGGGTTTGTGCTTGACATTGCCCCATGTCTTTTCTGGTGGGCTTTACACCAGCTTCTGCTCTTTGTTTGCAGGGGTCAAGGGAGTGCAGGTTGAAGAGATTTATGATCTGCAGAGCAAATGCCAAGGGTAAGGCACAAGTGTAAAAGTAGGAGTTTTATTAAGGACAGTGTCTCTTTGGGCCTGGGAACTCATCACCAGGAGTTCAGAAAGGCCTGTGTGAGCTCGTTTGTCGTGGAAGGCAGTGTTCTAAGTGAGGAACCAGGAGTGCTTCATCGGGTTTGGGGCAGATGGGCAGTCTCACGCCTTGAAAAAGACCTCATTGAGCAGGTGGGGCCATGCTTTGCCTGTGGAGAGGTGCAGTGCCAACCAGCAGGCTTACAGCGTCTCTGTGCTTTGAAATGTCTTCGAAGCTGCTGCTTTCATAAAAGCCATTGAACTCTTGAAAATGAATATAACATACAGTTAAAAGGATGGGTTGTTTGGTGGTTCGTCACTATTCTGCAGGTCAGTCAGTGTCCAGAGGTGAAGTTCCTTTGCTGTTTCTCTGTCTTGAGCCTCTTAAGACCTGTCAAATCCCGAAGTTTTCAAGCTTGATTGTTGTTTGAGCCTGAAGCATCAGGAGAGCATCCTCAAATATGTGAGGCTGGGGAGACTAGTGACAGAGGTGGTCCCTTCCACAAAGAACGGGATGGTCGTTATGCTTTTCCTTTCTGTCTTTGTCTGTGGTTTGAAATGGAAATTTTCTGGTGATGGGCAGAGTTGCCCCACTGGTATGATCCATCAGAAATGATGCGGCTCCTGACTTCTCTCCGCAGCCCTGTCTATGGGTTCATCTTCCTCTTCAAGTGGATTGAGGAGCGCAGATCACGCCGGAAGGTCTCTACCCTGGTGGATGAGACGTCGGTGATTGACGATGACATCGTTAATAACATGTTTTTTGCTCACCAGGTAGGCTGGAAGCGAGGGGAAAGCGTGCGTGGGGCTGTCTCATGTGACACCTCAGGGAAGCAACATGATACTGAGAGGCTGCACTGCTTTTGCTGGTCCTGAGGGAAGCTCCTCTTTCCTGAGAGTCTCTGCCCTGAGCTCAAGGCTGGAGGGAATCCAGTGAGGAGCATGAGCCTGTGCTGTGAGCAGATGCTCATGGGGGTGTGATGTGGTTCGCCAAACGAGACTGACCTCCTCCCTCCCTTTGAGAGCTAAGGTCAAGTCATGGCTCTCATGAGAGGTTCTTGCGTCAGTACTTTCAGTTGATCATTGTGTGCTCTGAGAGGTTGTTGAAGGGTTGCCTTGTTCCTGCCAGTTAAGATGATCCTTGTGTCATCCTCCAGCTGATCCCCAATTCCTGTGCCACCCACGCCCTGTTGAGCGTCCTCCTGAACTGCAACAATGTCGACCTGGGCCCCACGCTGAGCCGCATGAAGGATTTCACCAAAGGATTCAGCCCTGAGGTAAGGGTGGGGTGTGCAGGGCTCTGCAGGGAAGGTGCATGTGACTCTGCCTCTCGCTACCCTCTCAGGATGATGCTCTAACGAGCCAGCTCCTTTCTAGCCCTTCGTGGCTGGATGCTACATCAGTATTGCCTCTCCTCTCTCGTCTTCTTACCTTGCCTTGCTCAGAACCTTTGTCTGCTTGCTCTGGGCCCAGCTCTGAGCTTCTGTACCCTGCCCAGGTACATTCTCCAGGTCTGAGATCAGAAGTCCTCTCCCCTACCTTCAGACCTATCTTGAAGTCTGTGTTTCTCTCTAACTGTAATTTCTTCAGCAGAAATTGTGTGTTCTTTGCATCTTGAGTTTTACCTAAAACTCAGCAGAGCAGAGGGTGTGCCTGAAAGTTGTTCTCCCACTCCTGTGTATGGATGGAGATGTGTGAAGCATTTTGTTTGTTTGCTGTCACTTCTCAATTCTTTTCCTCTTTTGCTCTTTGCAACAGAGTAAAGGCTATGCCATCGGCAATGCTCCGGAGCTGGCCAAGGCCCACAACAGCCATGCCAGGTGAGTGAGGGGGTCTCTCGCCACTCGCCGGAGGAGGCAGACTCTCTGCTGACCTGCACCTCTCTTGCCCTCGCAGGCCGGAGCCACGGCACTTGCCGGAAAAGCAGAACGGTATCAGCGCTGTGCGAACCATGGAGGCTTTTCATTTTGTCAGTTATGTCCCCATCAAGGGACGGCTCTTTGAGCTGGATGGGCTGAAGGTCTACCCCATTGACCACGGTAAGAGCCTGCTTGTCCCTGCTGGTTGACACAGTGGAATAGACACTCTGGTATGTCCCAATGTGTGTTATTTTTCATTGCCACTTACCATTAGCTGATGTTTGTGAAACATTGTTCAATGGCTCCCAGCTTTGTCCTCAGTTTTGATAGCTCATTTTGCAGCCTGTGCGCTGGGGGCTGTGTCTAGAAGTCAATTATTTCCAAATGCATCGCATTGCTTTTTCCAACCTTGCCATTTTCCTCCCCAGTTGCTCAGGGCCACGAGGTCCTTCTGCAGCTCTGAAATAACTCAGTATCGGAAGCAGAATTTGTCTCCTCCTTACTGTCTCCTTGTGCCGAATGACCGCTGTGTGCTGAGACACAAGGTCCTGATGCAGATCCCAGCTGGTCGCTCGGCTTACCCTCTTCTCTTGCAACTTTACCACTAGGTCTGTCTGTCAGACACTAACTTATCCCCACTAGGGCTCCCCTTCTGCCGGGCCCTTGGGTGAGATGCCCACTTCATGTACTTGGGTTACTTAAGCATTGGCACCAGACCCAGTGGCAGGTGGTTCCCAGCAAGGCCAGGGATTTTCTTGGACTTTGTGAGCTCTGAGCCTGTGAATGGCTTGTGGTCTGTAGGGTTCAAAACTCACCTTTCTGCCCTGCAGACAGCTCACACTTTCCATTCGGAAGGCAGAGGCAGAGAGTTCTATGTATGGGCTGACAGTGTGGTCCTTCTGCCTCCTGGGCCCCTTCTTGACTTGCTCCCTGCTATGTAAGGGAGCCATAAGATTTCCTTTCCTGAGGATGGCAGGATCCGCTCCGTCGGTCTGAAGTGGGAGGCTCGGCCTGCTTTGCTAAGCCCAGCTCTGTCTCATTACCGCAGGGCCGTGGGCTGACGACGAGGAATGGACAGACAAAGCCAGGAGAGTAATCATGGAGCGCATCGGCCTGGCCACTGCAGGGTAATGTCCCAGGCCATGGTGCAGGCACTGGCCCCTCACCATTTTTTCCCTGGATTATTTCTGCTGTGGTCTCCGTGCGAGAAGTTGTGGAAGCTTGAGTGGAAAAGGTCGCTTGGGAGGGGTGCAGGTGCGCTGCCTCCTTGCCTTCTCTTGTCTGCAGCTTGCCTGCCTTGAGAGCATGCTGAGAAGGTGCACTCTCTGTGCGATGCCGAGTCCCTGCCAACGGCTGTGCAGGGTGAGAGTGGCCAGGTTAGGTCCCCTCTTTGCTCGAGTCTGCAGGGGAAGGAGTGAAGCCGCTGGACCTGAGCTGGGGCTTTTTGATGGTTGGGCATGACGGTGACTAAGCACTGGCGCAGGTTGTGGAGTCTCCATCCTTGGAGATATTCAGAAGTCATCTTGACATAGTCCTGGGCCACCAGGAGCAGATGAGCTCCACAGGTCCCTTCTCTCACCTCAACCAGCCTGTGATTCTGTGGATGCTGTCTGTGTTGTGGCTGGAGCAGGCCTTCCTTTAAAAAAATGTGAGGCTGACTTGGTTTTCGGGGCGAATGCCTCCAGTGTGTTGGCATTAAACACGAGGGCAGGGGGAATGCTGCCTGGAAGAGCCCACGGGAGGTGTGTGGGGAACGGCTGCCAGGAGATGGGCTCTCCATCAGCGGCTCACGGCTGCTGCCCCTTCCTGCAGGGAGCCGTACCACGACATCCGCTTCAACCTGATGGCGGTGGTGCCCGATCGGAGGATGAAGTATGAGTCCAAACTGCACATCCTGAAGATGAACCGCCAGACTGTGCTGGAGGCCCTGCAGCAGGTAGGACAGTCCCATCCCTGAGGGAGTGCCAGCCTGAGGTGGGAATAGGCTTTGTTCTCAGGGCATCTCCCTGTACTGTGGGGGCCCAGGATTTTGGGGGTTTTTTTGGCCTTCAGAAGAGGAGCTAACCAGCCTTGCTGCTTGGCCTTTTGTTACTCACCTGGGAGGTTACCCACAGCACTGTCAGTTGATTATGCATATGGGTGCTCAGTGGTTGGCTGGCCCTCATGAGTTCTTCTGCACGTCTTGAATGGGAAGGATGTGGTTCTGGATACCCTGGTCCCGCTCTCATTTTCTATCTGTCATTTGCCTTCAAGCTCATCCGAGTAACTCAGCCTGACCTGATCCAGACCCAGAAGTCTCAGGATTGTCAGCCTCCCGAAGATGCAAAGCCAGCCAGCAGCAAGACCATGACTCCAGAGAGCACCCATCCAGGTATAACCCTGTCCCAGTGGTGTTGCCAGCCTGGTTTGCCATGGACCGAACGTGTGCTGGTGACAACGGCTGGCTGACCTGGAGCTTGAGGCAGTTCTGTTCTTCAAGCCCAGCTCTGCGTACGTTGTGCTGGGGTAGATGCCTCTGTGCTTGGGAGGGGTGTTGGAGGGATGCGGAGCTTGAAAATGGGAGGGCTTAAGCTTGGGGACACACTGGTGACAGCTGGAGGTGGAACGGGAAGTGGGTGTGATGGGGTGGGGGAGCTCTTCTGCTGTAGGGGGTGAGCAAAGGGTGGCAGAGGACGTTGAGTAGCAAGCTGTGGTGTGGGTCATGAAAGGCTGTGCTGTGTTTGTATGGCAGACGGCACCGATGATCCCAGCAGCCAGGGCCACACTGCAGCCACGCAGAGTCCACCCAACAAATCCAAACTAGTGGCAAAGACGTCAGCGAGCAGTATCAACGGGGCGCCTCCAGCAAACCCCAACCCCATCGTGCAGAGGCTGCCAGCCTTCCTGGATAATCACAACTATGCCAAGTCCCCCATGCAGGTAGGCTGGAGCTCCAGGCCAGCAGCATGCCTGACTGGAGCCGAGTCCCTCACCTCTGTGGGCCTGTGGTTTTCAGCCAGTCTAAGGTCTTCCCCTGCCTTGCCGCCTGCCTACCCTTGCCCTGACCCAGGCTGGAAGGCGAGAGGGTAGACAAAGTGTGACCTGGCAAAAGAGGTCAGCATTTGCGTGGGTCAGCTGAACAAGTATAGCCTCCACCCCTGCTTGGAAGGGGCAAACCCCAGCGCTGGGCTGGACTGAGGGCATGTCTGCTGGGCTCTTCCTGCTTGCTCCGCTGCTGGCAGGCCATCAGTGACGGGGTTTTGCAGGAGGAGGAAGACCTTGCAGCAGGAGTGGGTCGCAGCCGGGTCCCAGTCCGACAGCACCAGCAGTATTCAGACGATGAGGATGACTACGATGATGATGAGGAGGAGGACATTCGTAACACCAACTCAGCCATCAGGTGACAGCTTGAGCTGGGGGTGGGGGGCAGGGAGCTGATGTTTGCAGAACTGCCAGTGGTAACTTGCAGATCTCTTTCCTGAGTGCTGGTAGTTGTGTTAGAGCCTGCACCTGAGCCTGCTTTTTTACTGTCTGCTCTCTGGATTTTGTGAAGCTCTTCTGTAGCTGTTCACAGTCAACCCCAAATTTTGTCTGCGCCGAGTATAACTGTGTGTTGGCAGCAGGCTTTAGGGAACATCAGCTGTCTGGTGCTGCTTGCCACATCAGCTCCTGGTGACAGCGCTGGTGTGCCTGAACTGCTGCGAAGGTCAGGAATGTGGGGTCACAGAGACAGTGCTTTTGGGGCTTCTAGTAGAAGAGCAGGGATACGCAGGGATACTGGCTGCGTAGCGGTACCCACAGCTGAGCAGTTCAGTGGTGTTGGGGTGCTGCTAGAGAAGCTGGTGGTAGTAGGGGTGACCTAGAAGTGTTTCAGGTCTTGCCTCATCCTAGCAAACAGCCTGGAGTGCAGAGTGTGGAGCTGCACTGGGCCCCAACCCCCTTCTTTCCACCAGCTACTCACCTTCCCTGCTGTGTTCCTGGGCAGGTACAAGTACCCACAGCTGAGCAGTTCAGTGGTGTTGGGGTGCTGCTAGAGAAGCTGGTGGCAGTAGGGGTGACCTAGAAGTGTTTCAGGTCTTGCCTCATCCTAGCAAACAGCCTGGAGTGCAGAGTGTGGAGCTGCACTGGGCCCCAACCCCCTTCTTTCCACCAGCTACTCACCTTCCCTGCTGTGTTCCTGGGCAGGTACAAAAGGAAAGGGCAGGTAAAGCAAGAGCACGTGGCGGGGGCTGTGGATGGCCAGCTCTCTGTCCTCCAGCCCAACACTATCAACGTCCTGGCTGAGAAGTTGAAAGAATCTCAAAAGGATCTTTCCATTCCCCTGTCCATCAAGACGAGCAGCGGAGGTGCCGCCGTGGCGGGGGTCACCCACTCCCCGCCCTCTCCAGCAACGAGAGCACAGACTCCGCCTCCGAGATGGGCAGCGCCTTCAACTCCCCGCTGCGCTCTCCCATCCGCTCGGCCAACCCCACCCGCCCCTCCAGCCCGGTCACCTCCCACATTTCCAAGGTGCTCTTTGGCGAGGAGGACGGCCTGCTGCGCGTCGACTGCATGCGCTACAACCGGGCAGTCAGGGACCTGGGGCCTGTTATCAGCACTGGGCTGCTGCACCTCACAGAGGACGGCGTGTTCTGCCCGCTAGCTATTGCAGGTAGGTGCCTGCCAGGTTTTTTTGGGGTGGCATCTTCCCTGCGGTGGGGGGGTCAGTGTCCTTTGGCTTCGGGAGTGGACACTGGTCCTTTGTGATGGCTCCCAATGCTTCTTTCTGTGTGCAGATGGGGGGAAAGGCTCCCCGCCTTCCATCAAACCCGGTGAAGAGGCACAGGTCGCAATCAAACTGGACGAGAAGGAGGGCAGTGAGGCCAGTGACAGCAAAGAGAAGGTGGGACTTGGCAGGACCAGTGATCACCCTGGGGGGGAAAAGTATTCTCCCAAGGTGAGTTTTGTGCTGCGACAGCCCTGGGAACACGGAGCTCCCTGCGCTCACCCAGAGACGCAGCAGCGCTGGCAGTGACCGAACCGCATGTGCACGCTGTCCCACTCGCATGTTGCCGCAGCCGTGCCTTGAGGCACAGGGCAGGGCAGGTTTTATGCCTTACGTGATCTCGGGGACAGTTGTCTCAGCAGTGGGCAGAGCTGCTGTCCCCTGCAGTTGAGATGTTCGGTATGCTCCGCTCTCCATCAGTGCAGAGGCTGGGGGGGACCCGACCCCCCCAATCAC